ATAAAGTTTCTTTTATTAAAAAGTTATAAATATTAGATTAATATAAAAATTGATATACATAATTTATATGAATAAAATTTTTAATTAAATGATGGATTTTTAAAAAAATTAGTTAGAATATAAAATTTTGAGAGAAATTCTCCAAAAAAAAGTTTTAGTGGACGACCTACTCTACTACACCATCCACTTAATAGATTATGCCCAAATGGATATCTTCGCTCCGCAGATTGATTTTTACATTTACAGAAACAAAGTACCATGTAATATCTCCGTTGCAAAGAAGAATAAGAATTTCTCATTAAACGGATAGCTAATTTGGTGTTGAAATGTTAAGTTAAAGAACCAAAATGGTATTAAAAAAGTTGAGGAGCTATATTAATATCAATTCACAAAGTTAAGGGACTAAATTGGTCATTTAGTCTTTTACTAAACAGGGACGGGAGGCAAAATCTGCCCTCCATCAAAAATCCCCGTCGAGATTCCCGTTCCCGCCATTCACGGGGACGATGCCTCCCCGTCCTGTGGGGTTCCGTTGACATCCCTATTTACATCTCAGGTTTTCTCTCTTGGACTATAATTGATTGGAGGATTGTCTCTATTATTTTATTTAAAAATATAAATGTATTATATTTTTATTAATTTTTATATGTTTTACTAAAACTTTACTTGCACTTGGGTCTTTGGGTCTAGTGACGTCAGACCACATATAAGTGTATTCTCCTACCCCTAGGGCAACGGTTCGAATCTGGCCTATTGCGAATTTGTTTAAAAAAAAAAAAAAAAACTTTACTTAAGATGGGACACATGCATGTTCGTTTCGGACAAATTTTTTTGTCTTTATAAGCTCAAGTAGATCATACTTTTGCTAAAATGGTGCTGACAAGAATAAAGTAAAGTGTTGAGACAATCACATTAATCACATTATGAAAATCCATCTATTTTAAACTAATTACAACATACAACTTATAAGAAAACACATACAGTTGTGTTTATTGAGGAGCTAATAGTTTCAAAAAGAAACAATTAGAGGGGTCTAGTGGTTAAGCCCTAAGCGGAGCCTATGTTTTTCTCAAAGAATAAAACGCATATGAAGATGGAGAAAAATAAAAATAAAAAGACGCATTTGAATTTGAAGTCTTCGTCTATGTTCTTGGCCAAAAAAGAAAAAAAAAATGGAATTTGAAGTCTTCGGACCTGGAATATTTTCTGAGGCAAAGTCTTGCTTTTCTTTCTTTGCCGTATGGTGAAGTCCCTTGAGTGGCGGAAGCACGTTTGCCCTGGGTTAGGCACGGGCCATACCCTGGGCCAAAAAAATTTAAAGAAAGTAAAGGACTTAATTATCTAGACCTTACCTTGTAGTTAAATAAAATATTTAGAATTTTAAGAAACTAAAATGAAACGAATACCAAAAGAAATACAAAATATTGAAGTGGAAAGAAAATTAAAAAAATAAATACGTAACCATACCTTAAATAACTAAAATATAAGAGAAGAATAGATTTAATACCTTGAAAAGTATTACTGCAAAATTTATTTCTCTTTGTAGCAAACCAATACAAATGCTTTGATTCATAATTTCTCATGGTTACAATTTCCTTCTTTTTCACTTTTATTTTTTTTTCTTTGTTTCTAACTACTTCCACTTCCATAACTTTGTTCAAGTGACTTGAATTCTTAAAATCAATGAAACTCATTTTTAAAAAGTTAAAATTTTATTTTATATCCTCTCAATTAGATCCCTTAAAAACCAACTATTACCCAATACAAATTTCTCAAGGTTATCTCATAATTTATCCATATTAGCTTCCAATACACCATCCAACTAAACCCTCACAAAGCTTTTAGAAGAGAATTTACACAAATCATTCTTAATTCATTGCAATAGAGGAAGATTAAAGGAGGATTGAGGGTGATTAGATTTGGATGTCATAGGAGAAGAAAGAGGAATTTATATGTTTTAAAAAAATACTATAGTTACAATGCTAATCATGATATGATATTAAATAAGTATAATGTAGTATTAAATAAATATATATACATATAATATTATAAGTAAACTCTTAAATAAAAAAAGTTAATTATATAATGATATATAATATTATAAATTTATAATATCAAATGACATTATAATTATAGCATTTTTGATATTTTAATCTACTAAATGGAATAACCCACATTAATTCTTCAATTGGATTTACAACTTTTTTTGTCTAGTCCTTACTCTTTCATTTGTGTTACAATTTAGTCTTTTGTTTTTTTTTTTTGGTGCGACAATTTAGTTTTTTGTGTTTTAATGTTTTATCTACTTTATTCATTCTATATAATTATAGTATTTTAAATGAAGGTAAGACAAGAAGGCCTACCCAAGAAGAATTCCTGGTTCCGGCCACTGTTAGTGGGCGCTTGAGAAGTCATCTTTGTTTATATTTTATTACATCAGTCAACACACTTTAAAGTTTTTCAACTTCGGATCCTCTCTTCGCTTCCATATGTCTTGTGCCTTTTCTAAATGCAATTCACTTTTTTGTAAACTTCTTTTATTTCACTAATATTATTTTCAGTGGCGGAGCCAGAATTTGAGATGAGAGAGCTTAAATTTATTGAGATTTAAATTAAATTTATGTTTAAAACAATAATTTTTTTGTCTGTTATAGTTGTATTAATTTGATTTTTGTATA